TCTAGACGGCCCACACCCGTCATCTATGGAGAATACGAGATGTACTGTACGAAAAGAAATATGTTGGGGCAATTGGTGTTTTGGCTTAGATCAACGGTGTCCTTGAAACGGAGCAAGAGACTGGATAACTGAAACGAGAAATTATGGAGTTTTCGGAATATCGAGCGACAGATCAGGCTCCTGGGTTGTAAGGCGTGGAATATAGACCCGATAATATAAGGTGTCATTCAGAGGAATATGATAATGGTTCCGGCGGTGGTTGTGGGAAGTGGCCCGTGGGTGGGGGCATTGGCTGGCATTCTCCGGCCGTAGGCCAAGGCGAAGGGAGATTCCGGCTCTCAAAGCATAAGTAGCTCAGCCGGGGCTCGATAACCTACATGCGCAGATGCATTACGGATGCATGTAAAGCCGGTTTAATTGGGACCTACCTACTGGGTTACAAGACGTGGGTGAGTTGGAGCAGGCTGGGAGCTATATCCGGCTCGAGCTCATGCCGCCATCGTTTTTAATCCACAAAGGGAGGCAGGACTAATAAGCGAAGCGTGTATCGGATAGGAATTTGTTGGGCGGTGGTGTCTTGGACAGCATGAGCAATGCCTGTTTATTTGATACTGCTAGGAGCTGTTTGGTCGGCTGGTCATGTAGATCTGCCAATCATTCACCTACCTAAAGGAATTACGCGGTAGCAGTGGAGATCTTTCAGCTAGATTTTAAGGGGGTTTGCTAATGTTCTGTCATCTGGTTCAACCCGAAGCGGGCCATCCATCTGATGTGACTCGTGCATGAAAACGCACGCAGGAAAGGAGAAGGGGAGAAAACAAGGTCACACAATGGTGGGACGGTGAAGAAGCAGGAGGAGGCATTTACTACGTTGTACCTGGCAATAAGCTGTGTTTGCCTGTACGTACACGCTGGCGGCTGAAATCCAATCCAATGCGACAGGCGATCGCGAGCAAAAACGCAACGCCTGGTTGGCCAATGGCTTGCCTCAGCTGCACACAGGCCAATGCTACGGTGCGTCGGGGCCCTGCGCGGGGTAACCTGTACTTGGTAGTTGCATGTAGGTCAGGCCTGCAGCCTCCATCCTGCCAATGCGACTCGGTAGCTGCTGTGTGTCACAGTATGGATCCGTTGGCTGCAAGCTAAACTCTCGAGTGTGTTGTGGAGGCCATTGATCCCCTTGTCTCCGTAATAACCCACGCACGCACGGGCGGCGGGCAATGTTGAATTGGCTGAATGAATATCAGAGGTCGGGTGAGGAAAAGGGGTGGGGGAATGTGGAGGGGGGGATCTTTATTTGAGTTGATGCAACACCGTCATAAAGAAGGAATCGAATAGTTCCTCACGTTTTGAGGATTTTTACCACTTTTGGAACGTTGAATGGGCGCCGCCACGGACTAGCATTGGAGATAGAAGACCCTGAGTCTCCCTGAGCTATCGTCCAAGGTGGCAACAAGGTTATTTGCGATAAAGAGCACCCGAATGGTACCGAGCCCCTGGATTTTCAATTTTTTACTTTTTACTTTTCTGGGCACTCACTGTAATTTTAGCACCTGGCTTCGGCCACGGCCTCCTGTAGCGTCGAGATCGTTGAGCTCCAGCATGGAACAGGCTCCAGGCCTAGTGGAGGCTAGCATTCAACATCTCCCTAAAAGCCCAGGCGTTATTGGTCTTCGCAACGGGGCCCCTGCTCACCGCCTTTGGGCCTAGGCAGGGCCTGCTCCAGCCAACTCCACTGCGCATCCCCCCTGCCGGTGGGAGTAGTGGGCCTGCGTTTGGGGCCAAGCTCACAGGCACCCAGTAAAACGCCCCTCGGGATCTTGCAAAATTGTGGCCGGGGCGGGTTCAGGCCAGCTGGGCCTGCAGGTTAGGCTAGCCAACCAGCCAAGATGGATGGACAGAAATTATTAACCGCCGCACCAGGGGTTGGGACCTGGTTAGAGAAAGTCGATCCCGTTCTGCCAGGCCACCTCTCCCGCCTGGGCGTTGCTTCTGATTTCCTCTGCCGGATGTTCTCGTGTTGTGTTGCTCTTCCCTCCACTGCTCTCGAGTTGTGTACACGTCAGAATCGCAAGGATCCTCTACGACTTCAGAGTTCGTGGCCGGCCTTCCTCCTCTGGCTGTACCCCCTCTCCCCTCTCTCTCCCCGCCATCTCCCATCCCTTATCTTTCTGGGTGGGTAGTTGCTCTGCTGCGGCTCTTGAATCGCGAGCTGAGGGATCTCTCAACATCCCCCCTCCTCTTTATTGTGTCGACTGTCCGCCCGCCCGAACAGTTCCTTCCTCCTACCAAACCCCCATCGGCCGCTCTCCCCTTCTGTCGCTGAAGGACTCTCGAGCCAATTCAACCTGCTTCAACCATGAGCGACACCGAGACCCCAACTCCGTCCTCGGCGGGCGAGAAACCTGTTGTCAACGCTGCCAAAGCTCCCGTGCGACCTCAACTCCGAAACGGACCAAGCAATCCTAACATGAACGGCCCGCTATACATGCAGTCTGGAAGCAATGTTGTTCTTGTCAGGAGACTCAAGCAGAAGGATCTGAGCACTTCCGCACGCTTGTCGCGCTGGTTTATCGAGAACCAGATTGGTACGTTATTCGACATCTATATCGCTTCACCTGTCATGCCTCCCGGCAGGCAATTCTTACATGGCTTCCCCTGGCGCCCAATGCCGAATTGGCGACCCAGCAGTCGCTATTTTCGCTTCCATTGAATTACCCATTCCCTTCCCATGCTCGAGTTTTGCCATTGGACGTTTGCTTACAGATGATTGTCGGATAGGGTTGTCGTTCAACTTGCTTGCTCTTGCGCTCCTCGCACACATCTTTATCCCCAAGGCGAGGACATACACATACAAGTTCTTCCACCTTTGCTACCTGAATCCCGAGACTGGCGACTATGGCGTTGGCTTCGACGATGCGTACTTCATCTCCATGTGCATTGTTCTGTTTACTGGGCTGCGGGCGGCTGTCATGGAATATGTGCTGGCACCTCTTGCTAAGGTTCAGGGAATCTCGAAGCGAAAGTTGTTGACCCGGTTTACTGAGCAGTCATGGTTGATTGTTTACTACAGCTTCTTCTGGCCAATGGGAGTCGTAAGTTTACCGAGCACTACCAATGCTCATTTGGCCTTTTACTAACATGTTGGCAGTACATCTACTGCAAATCGCCCTACTACCTGAACATGAGAGAGCTTTGGACCAACTGGCCCAATCGCGAGGTTGACGGGCTCATGAAGTTCTACATTCTTGCTCAATGGAGCTTCTGGCTGCAACAGATGCTCGTTATCAACATTGAGGACCGACGAAAGGACCACTGGCAGATGCTGAGCCATCACATCATTACCTCGACTCTCATCTGCTCCTGCTACAGCTATCACCACACCCGTGTTGGAAACTTCATCCTGGTTATCATGGATATTGTCGACATCTTCTTCCCTGTAAGTGCCACAACATGCCAACTACTGCTTCCGCCACTCATCTAACAATGCGACGCACAGCTTGCCAAGTGCTTGAAGTACCTTGGCTACACCCTTTTATGCGACATTGCTTTCGGCTTCTTCCTAGTCTCTTGGATCTTCTTCCGCCACATCGCCTATTTCATGGTCTGCTGGTCTATCTGGGCCCACACCCCTGAGGTTATGACGAAGGCTTGCTGGAAGGGCAGCAGCACGAACCTCACCGGACCTCTCGAACCCCCCGCCGGCTGGACACATCTTATTGAACCATTCTACGACCCAGCTGGCCATGTCTGCTATACCGATGGTGTTAAAAATGCGTTCCTGGTTCCTTTGATGCTTCTCCAATTCATCACCATCTTTTGGTTCACTCTTATCGTCCGTGTTGCGATCAAAGTCTTCACCGGAGACGGTGCCGAGGATAGCCGAAGCGACGATGAGGGTGCGGAAGATGATGAAGAGGACGAATTTGTTTACGAAGAGGCTGAGCCTCTCAAAGAAGAGGTAGGCGTTGAAGGCCTGGACCTGAAGGGCTGGGAGCGCAGGCATGGGCTGAAGATCCAGGGGAACAGTTCTGGTGTCAGCCTTCCCGGGCACAGTGATCGCAAGGAGTTGCTTGGGCGCATTGGTTGCGAGAAACAAGTCGATTAAACAGGATCGCATAAGAGAGCGAGGCCCGCCATTACTGAGGGCATTTGTGGAGTTCAAAGAAGAATCACCTACCATGATATCTCGATTGCTGAGCTGGGGATGGTCCTGGGTGCTGGGAGAGCCAGGAATGCAAAAGCGTTCAAAGGAGCATTATCAGAAAAGTAAGATTTTTTTTATTTGAAATGATATGGAAAAGTAGACGCTCCTGCTGGTGGCCTTCTTATTGATATTTGTGGGTATTTTTTGTTTTATTGCTATTTTGGCTGGGTCTTTGTCTGTTGTTTTCCAACGAAATGGCATGTGGATTATATGGATGGCATTGACGTCAAAGCATGGGATACCAGGGGACTGACGATCCCTTCTGACCACCCTCTGAACTTCTCGTGGGTGCATTTCTTTCTCATTTTCACGACTTGTTGTGGCGGAATTTCTCAGATACCTAAACCTTTACCTTCCTGCCTTACCTACCTACCCTATGGTGCCACGGGGGAGTGTGTGCACCACCACTTGTGGAATATTATACCCTTCACCTCGATATCCAAGGTGTCCTCTGATGACTGCGTAGACGTACTCTTCTAAACTCGTGCTGAACTGTAAGATGTCGTGACGTCAAGCAGAACACTTTCTTGATTTATAGTGCTAATGGATGCATTGTATGTCTAATTATATGAGTATACTATGAATCCAACTTCCACATGACTCTTTTCTATGTTTGCTCCTCGAAGTAGGGAAAATATGATCCAAGCTCTGCCATGAGCTTCTCCTTCATGCGTGCCATCCTACTAAAATCACCGCAAGACGCCCGTGTGTGCACCTCTGAGCCATCGGTCTGGAGAGCATCTCAAACCCGAGGCAATGCTTTAATCAGTAAATAGAGGGGAAAAGAAACGAGTTACGACCCCTCCTCTAATTTCTTCTCGGCAATGTCCCGCAGCTTGAACTTCTGGATCTTGCCGCTCGCCGTCTTGGGGTACTCGTCCGCCCAGAAGACGTGCTTGGGGACGAGGTGGCCCGAGAGCTTGTCCTTGACCCAGGCGCGGACGTCGGCGCGGGAGATGGTGCGGGCGTCCGGGTCGCCGGGGACGTCGTCCTCATCGATGACGGTCCAGCCCGCGTGGGGGATGACGAAGGCGCCGACGCACTCGCCGAGGCGGTCGTCGCTTATGCCGACGACGCTGGCCTCCTGGACGCCGGGCATCTGGAAGAGGCAGTTCTCGACCTCGAGGGGGTGGATGTTCTCGCCGCCGCGGATGATGAGGTCCTTGATGCGGCCGGTGATCTGGACGAAGCCGTCCCTGTCCATGGCGGCCTCGTCGCCCGAGTAGACCCAGATGGTGCCGTCCTCGTCCTTGCGGACCTCGCTCGTCTTGGCCGGGTCGTTGAAGTAGCCCTTCATGGTGAGGTAGCCCGACGCGGCGAGCTCGCCGCGCTCGCCGATGGGCATGATGACGCTGCGGTCGATGGAGGAGACGATCTTGATCTGGGTGTGAGGCATGGGGGTGCCGACGGAGGAGGTGCGCTGCTCGAGGGGGTCGTTGGGGCGGGTCATGCAGCTCACGGGGCTGGTCTCGGTCATGCCGTAGCAGATGACGAGGTCCTCGAGGCCGAAGCCGGACTGGATCTTCTCCATGAGGCTGGAGGGGACGCTGCTGCCGGCGACGATGCCCTTGCGGAGGGTGGTTGGGGTGCCGGCGGCGCCGCGCTCGATCGCCTCGAGGTAGGCGACGAACATGGTTGTGACGCCGTAGAGGCCGGTGGCCTGGTGGTCGACGCACATGCGGACTGTGGCGACGGGGTCGAATGCCGGGGAGGAGAAGAGGATGGAGGCACCGGTGGTGGCAGTGGCCAGGAAGCCGAGGACAGAGCCGAAGCAGTGGAACAGCGGAGGGGGAACCACGATCTTGTCGTTAGCGGCGAGGCCCATGCGGTGGGCGATGAAGCGGCCGTTGTTCAGGATGGAGCGGTGACTGAGCATGGCGGCCTTGGGAGCGGAGGTGGTACCGGAAGTGAACTGGATGTTGATGGTGTCTGAGGGATCCAGGGGTGAGGACGGCCTCACCGGGGCGGGTGAGCCGTTGAGGAGGTTTGTGTACGGCGTGAGGCTGGGGAAGCGTTCGATATCGAACTGGACGTCAGGGTGGTCAGGTCGATTGTCTAGTACGATGGCTACACGCAGCGACGGAACAGCCTCGCTCTGGATGGTGGAGTTGTCAAGGTTGCCAAGAACGCCTCTGAGGAGGTCCTCATTGCTGCGGCCTTTGCCAGCCTTGTAAGCCAAGTCGGTCACTGCACCAATGATAAGCATCTCGGCACCCAGGTGCTGCAGACCAGACACGACTTGGCTCGCGGTGAAGCCCGGATTAAAAGGGACGAGGACGGCGCCGAGCTTGAAGAGAGCGTATGTGAGAATGGTGTACTCGGCTGTGTTGCCCAGACTCACGCCAACACGGATGCCCTTGCGGATGCCATACTGAGCCAGGGAGTTGGCAACCCGATTGGAAAGCTTGTCAAGCTCCGTGTAAGTGAGGACAGCCTCATGAGGAGTGTCGTTGGAGGTGGCTGCGATGGGAGAACGGGCAACAACAGCAGGGCGGTTCCCCCAGACAGCTACGACAGAAGCAAAGTGGTCTGGGATCGTGCCGTGGAATAGTGGGAGCTAGGAAGAGAGTTTAGCACGGGGCCGAGCAGACTGAGTATTAAGATGGTATAGACTAAATTGAGCTTCAGTGAGGAGGGGGATATTGTTTACTGACATCGACGGGCCCATCACGATAACTTAGCTCCCCTGACTGTGAAGATGAAGCTTCCGCTTGAGTGTGATATGCTCGAGGCCTAGCAGCTGTCCCCCAAGTCGTGATATCAAGGTCAAGGGCCGCGGGGTTGACGTGTGAAGTAACGGTCTGCGACATTGTGTACGCTGATGGCAATGAGAATGCCGACGGTCTGATTCTTGTCTTGGTGACTGAAGTACGATTCTTGCTGGAGGTTGGGAGTGCAGAGGCAGCAGTTGAACCAGAGTTAGACACCAATGCAGATGAAGCTAGATGCTGCCGAGAACTGCCATGGAAGGAACAGAAGGTACAACAATTAGACTTCGTGCTCTTCTTAGACAACCAGCGGCTGCTCTGCCCCTTCGACCCAGATGGGGGCAGGCAGCTAGAAGTAGGCCCAACCGGGTGGAATGCATTGGTCCCAGGACGCGCAAAGGGCGACTGGAATGAGGTCGATAGGCTCGACAGGCGTCGGCCAGGTTTGCTAGACCAAGGCACCCGACGCATCGGTAATGGCATGTCTGTCAGACCGTATGAACCCTGTGCATCTGCTACATTGCCTGCTGTCGGGGTTGGGACTGGTGGGTTTTCGTCTCTCCAATGAGAGGCGTAAGAGCGGCTCGATTATATTCCTCCGGGAATGAGACACGCAGCTGACATATGAAAGGAGGTGACGGAACCGATGAAAACAATGAGAGGGGAGGGGGGAGGGGGAGAGAGAGTTGGGATAGTGTGTGAAGATCAATGGAGAACATTGTCCTTTTCTCTTGTTGCCCAGACCCCTCCTGCCGTGTTCGCCTGCGTGCCTCGCCTGCCCTCGGTTTGCTAGTATTGGAGCCATTCCCCCGCGGTTGGCATTTCTGGGCGCGTGCATGCGCATACCGGCGGCTGATCCCATCCGAGGGTGGGTGAGTGAAATGGATTGAGAGAGGTGTGTGGCACGCGGAATTCACCCCCTGGAGACAATCCGGGGCAGAACCCACTAAGAGCACTGTAAGTGGCCTAGCTGGGCAATGTCCAGTGAGGGGTAGGCACTCTAGCGGGAGCTGGAGAGCTGTCAATAGCTCCCAATGGACAGCTCCCTTAGGCAGCTGGGGGCGTCAGAGCTGCTAAGCTCCAGCAGGGTTCCATTCGAATTGCCTGCCATTCCACCTCCAACCGGAACCGTTTTAGTGCTCGCTCTTCAATGACAGGCACGGATGAAGATCGAGCATCTCCGCGTGCATCTGATCGGATCTCAATGCATACTACCTGTGCCCTCCCGCGCGGTGCTTTGGCCCAGATGCTGCCAATAATTGCCAGCTTTGTCCTAGCACTCGGAAGAGGTACCTTGCAGGCACTTGATAACACTGCACGTCATCACACAACAGAAGATGAGTCAGTTCTGGTGTAGTCGCCGGCTGGAGCTATGTCGGTTTTCCCTCCACCACTTTGCTCTTATGATTCGATGAGAAATCGTTATCCAGTTGCTAAGGATAAGCGGTGGGAAAATAATCGCGTGTCCGATGTCTCAGCCCACCAACCAATGGAGAGGCATATCGTGTCTACCTAGGCCGTAAGCCACGGAAAGAACTGCCACTTGCTAAATGGTTGATGTGGGAATTTGATACATCAAATCCGATGGCTCGTTGGAAACATTGCTGATGGTCAAAGAAGAAGCAAGAAAGAAACAACGGCCACGGATCCTAGGTCCGGCATCGTGATATCAGAGGGTAGTAATCGGTACGGAACCAAATCTGACGGTTTATCACCCTGCCCGTCAATTTCCGTGTATGACTGCCCAGTCTGTCTCGAAATCATACCCATTCGTTTTCATAAGCCCGCGGATGATCTTCATACAGTGAGTGTTTCGGATGCAACTTTTGAGACAGTAATCCTAGAATAGCAAGACGGGCTAGCCATATTTGCTACGGAGCAATTCAATGTTCAATATGTTGGCTGACGAGGTCAGGCCATGCTGGATAGGCAAAAATTATGTCTATTTGAACTGGCACCGTGAAGAATGGTGTATGGCCAGTCTTGACTTAATATACCCTGTCTATCATGTTTGCTGGAATGCAGAAACGAGTCTAATATGTGATACTCAACCTAGGTACAGTGCGGCACTCTTTTTGTGCCCGGTTGTAACTCCATTCTCCTACTGTTGAACCCACATGTTATAAACACAATATTGAATGGGAATAACGCCATAGCAAAATATAACATCCGACAGAAACCCGCCATGCAGGCTCTTCTCACCTGCTACCCCCTCTCGTAGGCTCGCTACGATGGCTGGATAGTGGGAACGTGCCAAGGCCGGCGAGATTGTAGTAAATACAGTATAATTTAATGTCGTGATTCAAAGGCAATTGAGGGTATCATCAAAGTTGCTGTGCCTTTCTAGGATTTCGACCGAAGCGGATTGCGTCCCCTTCGTTTGTCGAGTTTTATGTCTATAGAGGTGTGGTGTAGTTGCGTTGTAAAGCGTTGCAAGGTCGCGAGGATCAGGCAAGAGGAGCTGGCAGGTGATCAAGTGGTTTTCGTTTCACCGATATGACGTTCGCTCTCCGGTTTCCAGGTACCTATAGTCACAAGTCAGTCATCATTGCTTTCTGCTACATTCTCTCTTGACCAGAAACTCACCTTCGAACTCGTGCTTGACAAACGCCATGGGATCATCTGTCTCTCCTGCACCCATCTGTCCCACGCCTGGCGAGAAGCTGGTGATTGGGAGGACAACGACATCGCCCACACGCTTGCTGGCAGTCATGCCCGTGAAGTTGCGGTAGTCAATGGTCCCCTTGCTCTGAGACATGTCGAAGAATCGCCCGTCGTTGAAGTAGTCCATGATGGTGTCGGTCCAGACAGCAGGGCCGGTTAGGCCCACGACGTCGTTGCTAACGAACTTGGCCAGCTTGCCGGCTCGCTTGAGCTCGAGAACCTCCTTGGTGATGCGAGCGATGACGTCCCGCAGCGCAGGGTGGCCGGGCTTGCTCTGGATCGTCCACTGGCAGAATTGGATGCGACGGCTGTACCAATCGGCCCAGTCCGGGCGGTCGGGGTCGGCCTCGATGCCAATGACAAGACCGACCGTGTCGCGGGCGACTTGCTCGGGCAGCCACTCCGAAGCGCTCTTGATGGCGTAAGTATCGATATCGGAATAGATGCCTCCGCGGGCGTATAGGATGAGGTAGCGGAACAAGTCGGCTTTCAGGACGGGCAGAGGGAGCGCGGAGTAGGCCTCGAGGACCTCGGGGACGGATGCGTAGAGGAGGCGCAGCAGATCGCGGGCGACGCTGTCATTGATGACCTCGTGGATGAAGCCCGGGTGGTGGTCGGACCACGAGGACTCCTGCTCGCGGAACTCGAAGCCCTCGTCGGCGGGTGTGGACTTCCACGTCTGCCAGATGTAGGCAGGGAACTTGAGGGTGACGTCGTAGGGGTAGGCGTAGGCAAGCTTGTCGTAGGTAGACATGTGAGACATGTCGTTCATTGGCTTCTGAGGCGTTCGAATGGCCGCGGGCCTTGCCTTCGAGGGGGCGCCTGCGACGACAGCGGCGCCGTCACCAGAGACATCCTGGCTGCCTGGTTTTTCGCTTACGGGCTGTTGTGTGTCTGAATCTGAGGTTCTGGACGTCGTACTCGTGGCTGTCGTGGTGTCGTGGGATGATCTCGAGATCAGAAAGAAAACGACGAGGATGAAACAGGCCGCGACAAGCGCGCGACGCGAATTCAACATTGTCGAAGAATTGAGATTCCCTCTTGAAGAGAATTAAAAGGATAGAGAAAAACTTGTCGTTCAAAGGAGGGTGAAGAAACGAAGGGGGAAGCCCGGCGGTGTGGTGGAGGGAAAAAGGAGAAGACGCTATGAACCCATCGAGGAACAGGAGGCGTTTGAGGAGGGAGTCAATTGCGTGATACTGACGGGCGGTGGGAAGAAGGTTTGGTCGTGGTCTAGTAGGGCGTAGCAAGCTTCAATGCCACCGGCAAGAAAGTCAAAGGGACAGGGAAAGAAAGAAGAAGAGTAAATTAAGATAAAAACGAAGAATAGGGGGAGGGGTGGTTAAGGGCTGAGTGGAAAAAAAAAGATGATGTTGCAGATAGTTGTCATTAATCTGCCAGAACTATGGGGTCTTTGGTGTTTGATAGATGCTAGTTCTTGCAGCGCAACTGGACCCGCAATCTGGTCACCAACGAACAGGGGTCGTGGCCTGCAGGACCAGGAAGACCCAGCAGGGTATTATAGTATTCTAGGGTCTCTGTCGCCTGGATGGGCTACGTCGTGGGTGGATGTCAGTCAGTAGGAGGCCACGGTCCTTTGGGGTTGGTTCGGGTGCTTTGTGGGGGTGTTTCGTGTTCTTTCTGGCGCAGTCGGAACGAGCCAGTGCCGAGTCGAAGAGCTGTGCTTTGGCCATCCGCATCTCGTAAGAAACAAATAGCTGGGTACCTACCCATCGAGCTAACGGAAGTTGTCGATGTGTTGCCTGCCGTACAATACGAAGGCGCCAGGTCAGAAATCGATAATGGGTTAGTAGTTCAGCAGCAACGATAGTGGGAGGTAGGAATGTGTGGATGAGGTTTTGGACGACCCGCCGAAGTAGCTGGTACCGCGCTGTAGTGGGCTTCTGGGCTTACCACCGGGACCCTGTCGCTGGAGCACAGCGTACCCAGTACCTGTTGTCGGTGCCTGCCCGCCTGTACGGTGGTGCCTAGTGTCGCTGTAGCGTCTCTACCTGAGGCGAGACATGGAGATTCTTGAATCATCACTGCCATGTGCGCTTCTCGCTGAGATCGATCCATCACTTGCTGCTTGCGGTAGGTCTGGAAGCTGGTTGGACACCTGAAACACACCCGACATGTCCAAACACCCCTTCTCCTGTGCAAGACTGATCCTCCCGTACCCCTCCCAGGCCTACATTGTGCCATCTACTCGACGGATAGGCTGCCCACAGCCACTACGTGCTACGTATGCCAACTGATAATGGATGGATGATTACGCAATTTCTCTTGCTAGGGCAGGCCGTTGTAGGATGCGATCGAAATTTTGGCTGCATTTGGACAGGCTCTAGCGGCCTCCATTGAGAGCCCCAGCGCCAATGCCAATACCAGCACGAGTTCATGGTTCTAGGCTCATGGTTCTCGGCTCCTGGCTCCCAGCG